GAGAGCCGCACGAAACCCCCGCGCGGCGCCGGGGCCGCACTGGTGATTCAGCCCGGTCCAACGCCCAGACACGTCGCGGTGGCCTGAGCGGCCTCGGCCCTTTAAAGACGCGCCCCCGTCTGCATGCCCCCGGGACAGGGCTGCGGAGGGGCAGCCGAGAGGCGAGCGCAAGGGAGGGGCGGGATGACATCTGCAGGGTGGAAACGCTCGTGGAAAAAGTCCTAAAGCCAGAACAATACACATGGGTGTAGCAGGACCCGGCTCCGAGAGCGGGGCGGTGAGGGCTCCAGGGCCAGGCCTGGTGTGAAAGCTTGGGGCCTCCGGGCTGCGGAGCGTGGGATGCGCTGGGCAGGGGGCACTGCTCTGGGTCATCTTTGGAAAGAGGCCTGGGGGCTTTTTATTGTTTAATAACCTGCATGTTACTGGCTGGAAGGGTCTAGTCCAGGCTGGCCCTGCTTGGACGTTAGTGCTGGAAGGGACCTTGAAGATCATTGAGTCCAGCTCCCTGCCCCAGGGGCAGGAAGTCAGCTAGGGGCAAAGGATCCCAGCAAGATAAGCATCCAAACCTTTCTTGAATGAGTCCAGAGTAGGTGCCTGCACATCTTCTGGAGGGAGTCTATTCCAGGCCTTGGAGGCTCGGACAATAAAAAAGTTTTTCCTTACGGCCAGCCTAAAATAGTCTTGGAGAAGTTTATGACCACCGGTCCTTGTTATCCCTTGGGGAGCTCTGGTGAACAGACATTCCCGCACACCCCGATGTACCAGGCCACCAGGTCAGCCCTGAGCTTGCGCTTTTCCAGGCTGAAGAGGCCCATGGCTCTCATCCTCTCTTCATAAGGCCTGTTCTCTTGCCCTCTGATCAGTGGTTCTCAACCTTTTCTTGTAACAGGACCCATTTGTAATCGTCAGGCCAGTCCCAACCTGTTGCCCCCAGCATCCAGGCCCCAGCCCCACTGTGTGTGGGGCAGGGGGGACATGGGGAGCCCTGAGGAGGCTGCAGCTGTGCTAGTCTGAAAGGAAAAGACACCATTTCCCACATTTTTCTCCAGTAAAGGAAAATCCATTTTCAAAGGTTGTTGATCCATTTCTAAAGTTTGGTCACAACCCTTCCATATATTCTTGCGACCCACTTTTAGGTTGCATCCCACAGGTTGAGAAACATTGGACTAAATGATCTCCGAAGGTCCCTTCCAACCCTAATTTTTATGATTCTATGTTTTTAAATAGCCAGTTGCTTCTTTGCACTACAAGTGAATACAGTTTGGTTAAGAACCAGTCATTGCCTGCTCCGCAGCATGGGTGAAAGCATCAGCTCATGAAAGATGTGGTTAAGTCAAATGATCTACATGTGGCCGAGTCCTCCAGTGACAGCGTGTGAAAGGTGATAAATCATGCATCCACTGAGCAGTTCCTTCTTGCTGAAAGGGATTGTTCTTACTCCTTGTGTTGTCACGTGCAGCGGAGTTGTCCAAGATGTCATCTGTTTGCTCGGATTGAGTTAAGCTGGCCACAAGAGACAAACTTTGATCTCACCAAATACACTTTAAACTGGACTAACTCCAAGTCAGTGGAGCTGTCCAGAATCTCCTGGGGTAAGATCAGAAACTGTCCTTTAGCGAAATTACAGTCCTCGCCCCCCGCTCTCTCTCTTTTAATAATGCAAAAATATTCTCTGCCACGCCTCTTCAATTCAAAGTCCTTCATAATAACAAATTGCAGGCATCTTCATTCTAGGAGTAGGATTCAAACACTGTTTGTTTCTGACAAGGAAAGACAGTAAATGCAGTCTATTTCGAAGGCTGCATGGTCATTTTGTTATAAACAATGCTGACTTTCTTAGAGTCGGTGTCATGTCGAGTATTTGACTTCTAGAATACAGCAAAGGGCATAGAGTTCTTGTATGCAGCAGGAGGGTGCCAGAAGAGGCTCTGTTCAAGAGTTGCCTTGATCAGCGTGTTGGTGAGACGCCACGATTCTCTATGCTATGTTTGCAGCCTTTCTGCAATAATGTCAATTAAAAGATTTTCCTTTGGAAACTAATAAATTCTAGGAACTCTGGGGACTCTTCTCAATACAAGTTGTTAGTGAAAGGCTTAAGAAATGCATCTTCAGCAACCCAACAATCTGGAGAGCTAGGACTTAGCGCTTCTCATAGATCAGTTTGGTCACCCTGTCAGATTTAGAAAGTCTGAATTTTAGAACAAGCAATAATCAAATACTTAGAATTGGTCTGTGAGCATGTGGATTCTTGGGGAGAAATTCATTGAGGTTAATGGGAGCATTGCTGATGATGTCAGTGAAGTCTGCATGTCACAGCCAGGGTTTGTTCATGATTCAGGTAGTCTGTGTTCACATGGCAGCATGAATGTGTCCAGCCAGATTTTGTACCTGCAACATTTTGTACAGTGGAAGCAGCGCGCAGTGGATTCTACAAGAGTCTCACTGCTGCATCTGGTTTGGCGCCATTCTGAAAGTTTGAGATACAGACCCTTCGTTAATATAGCCATCCTCTGAGACCAGATTTAGTGCTGGCAGATATTTTCCAAGAGTTTTCATTGTAAGTGCCTTATTTCTTCCAGAGTAAACCAATTAGACTTTAAAAACAGGTCTTGGACTCGCAAATCTCTTTGTACCTTTAGCTTTACATAGATCTAATTCCAGCCACAGAAAGTAGATTTATTATTATGCACCTCTTTACCCTGTTACTTTAAATTTAAATCAGATGAAAGACAGCCTTGTTTTCTTCTAAGGTTCATCAAGATCTTCTTGACGGTGCGGTCTCCTCTGATACATGGGAAGATATTTGATCATTCATTTGGCCAGTTTGCTCTTGTTCTTTCATAGATTCACCAGGGTCTTTTAACTCATTTATCACATGTGGTCCATGAGCCTTAACCACATGCAAGGAATTTGTTTTTTTCTAGGCAACCTCTAACCCAGTGTTCATTTCTTTTTCCCCCATTTCCATGGGTTTCTTGGTGACTTGGATATTCAGGGTTGCCACATGTGGAAAGCCAAAGCTCCCCAGCTTGTAGCCTGGAAAAGCTGAAGCAGAGCCAACAAGGACTGATCTGCAATTGCTCCAAAGAAGTCAGTATACCTTGCCTTGTTCTGTCCCTTCTGCCTCTTTCTGCAGCTGCATCCCTTGTGTTAAGAGGCAAGAGTTCCCTGTTGGCCATTCATCCCCCCCATTGTTGTTACCATCAGTACTGTGACATTTAAGAGCCTTGGCTGTGTGCTGGGAGCCCTTTTTCCAAGGTACTGTACAAACATAAAACAAAGACAGTTCCTGCCTGTAGCAGGATGCAGCCTCAGGGGTGGCTGTGACCCTCCTGGTGGACATACGACTCCTGCCCCGACTCTGGCTCCTGGAGGTACCCTGCCTTGTCTCAATGGAGCTTTTACAGTGTTTATGGGGCTGCTTCAGGGTCCCAGAGTAAGCCCCAGTAAGCCCCAGTATCAGTAGCCAGCTGATACTTCCCCCTTGCCCTTCAAGCACTAAGTTGTGACCCTCAGTGCCTCAAGACACCAGCTGCCTTAATGGGCTAATATTTGT